TGTAATTTAGTGATAACTGGTAGAATAGAATACAACCACAACAGGCTAATCATTTCACTGGCAGAAAACAGTTACATTTTGTGAAGGCTGTCGTCTCTTTGTGGTGTATAGTCTGCACCCAACGTTCTTCTCGTTTTATCATTGTTCCATGTTTGGGACTAGGACTCTCAAGAAGGAGTCCTTGGAGTTAGTTTAGGCCGATGTCATACTTTGCGAATCGCGCGATTCGCAAAGTCTGACATCCGTCTGGCCTTACGGCGACCCCTTTCTGAAAACACTTCTTTTTTTTCAATTCATAACACCGCTTGGGGTTTTTGTTGAACGTGCCTTTGTTCTAACTCCTCTAAGTGTTCGCATATTTTTTGTATTCGCGATCGGTTTGTCGGTTCACATCGTCGAAGTAATGCTACTCTCTGTTAACACAGAACAGCATGTCGCGTCAGATTTTCACTCAGATCAGACTCTTTGCATTCAATTTATGTACCATTCTTCATGATTAGTGAAATGACTAGTAGTAAAATTATCAAAGGAGTAATGAGAGCTTCATTCAAATGCGTTTAATTTGTTGTGTTGCAGAGGTTATCGGATTTCTGCGAAACGAACGCCGTTTAAACGTAGCGATTACACGAGCAAAACGGCAGTTCGTTCTGATCGGTAGCGCTCGTATGATGAAGAAGAACCGCCATTTACGTTCACTTTTGAGGTTTGCAGTTTAAATCTTGAGAGTTGGACACCTTTTGAAAAATTTTGTGAGCATGATTCTTTGAATTTAGAGAAGAGTCACACTTCCCCCCTATTGATACTTTGTGTATATGATTTTGCTTCTTATTGCAGCACCATACAAACTTGTGGAAAGGTATACGGGCCGGAAATGATGCACACATTTGAAAAAGGTCCTCATTGATTGTAATATTTAAGGAAATTGAGTGGATTTTCTTACCTAACGTTAATGCACAGTTACAAAGTGGATGCGAGAATTACGTCTTTGTTTCCAGAGGTCTCAACGTTGCCTACGATTCCCGATAAGAGAAAAGCTGTCGTTCAGCCTTAACACGGTGGGTCTCGCTATTTCAAATTGCTATCGTATACTCCACGAAGTTGAGACGAACATGTGCTTATTTCTTTTTTGATCATTTAGGCGATGGCGAGGTTACTGGAGATCATATCTGAATGCTCACATTTTGACTGTGATTGTTTATTGTATAGAGAAATTACGTCTAGGTTGCCCCTAGACCTTCGTGTGGAATTGTATCATCGTTTGAATGCGTGTTCAGTGTATATATGCTCCCTTTCAAATAACGAGAAGGCGTCGGGTGCAGACCATACACCACAAGTGACGACGGCCTCCAAGTAAATCTGGTTAGTAGTGGTTCATAGTGATAGCTGATTTTTGGTAAATGATAGTTGTAATTAGTGACAACTGATAGAATACAACTGCAACAGGCTAATCATTTCATTGGCAGAAAACATTTACATTTTGTGGAGGCCGTCGTCACTTGTGGTGTATGGTCTGCACCCGACGTTCTTCTCGTTTTTGAAAGGGAGGGTACGTATTAGGCGAATAGCACCTAGGATTTTATGTTCGATGTGTAGTCCACCAAAATTGCGGGTAAATACTTGTCAATAAATATTGATTCCTCGGCCTCTTCGTTCGAAAATCTGGTCTATGTATCAAATTCATTACCTCTCTCATCTTTACCTCTGCTCTTTAATCACCTCATGCATGATGTACAATTTCAGGGTGGGAAGGTTCCTTTGCTGTCACAAAAGGAGCAAAAAGGAACAAAAATTGAGTCGATGTTCTTCTAAAGGTCAGCCTTTCATAGTACTTGTAGAATTGGAACAAAGTTTTCATTCTATATTATAATATTTACAAAACATGGCAAAATATGGTAGTTCAGATCATTCCTAGGCTCTTTTTATGATATCTTCTGTCTCGCTCTGATTGGGTTGAAAATTTCTTGCTTTTTGAAGCTTAGGTCTTTATTAAGACTCAGAGGTTAACGCCACGTTCATAGTTTGCGATTCTAGAGAGAAGAGATAGCACGCGATAATGAAAATGAGATGTATTGGTATGGGAAATTAGGATAGGAAGAGGGTAGAATAGTCTGTCAAATCAGATATCTCGATTGAATTCGCTGGACAGTAGTAGATTGCGATATTACGATAGTAGGATAGTAGTAGAGTAGGAGATTAGGATAGTAGTAGATTAGGATAGTGCGCTGACAAGATTAGATATGTATTGATCTATTCGCTTGAAGTCGCCCAATCTACTACTCTCCAGCGATTTCAATCGATACGTATCTGAATCTTTTCAGCAAAGTTTTATTCTACGACTTATCCTAATCTCCTAAGTCACGAACTATGAACGTGGCCTCAGCTTTTTACACTTCGAAATGACTTTCTTTGAGCCAATCCGAAATTATTGACATTTTGGAGTAATAAGAGCTAGATAGGGTGCTCGATTTATGCTTTGCATTCCTTAAGAAGCCGTAGTTCACGACAACAGCAACAACAAAAACAACGAGAGAAGACATGGTAACTTTAAGCTGGCGGGTCTGTTTTCCGACGAGGGGCATCTGCTTACGCAATCACAAGATATTGGGCTTTCCCCAGGACCAAGCCTCGAGAGGTGGCAGGAGCTACGAAAAAAATGGAAATCACTCTGGAGCCTCCCCTTCCTCCGCCAAGGCTTAGTCCCTTTTCTAACAGAAAACAATCGTTTGACGCGGTTTTACTTACGTGCGTTATCGTCGCATGCTCGCATCTCTTGCGATAGGGCCTTATTTTGTTTGTTTTGTTGTTTTGTTGTTTCTTCGAAGCTTTAGATGAATGTTGGTTCTTAACATGTTCTGGTTTGTTTGCTGTTAGAAGGCGTTGCTCTTTTTACACGTTTTGTTTCGTTAGCAGTTGCAGCAGCAGATGCCCCGCCGTCGGACAGCAGACCCGAAGGCATTATAGGTCTCAACATATACTCGATATCTCGAAGTCGGATTAGGCGTGGCTCTGGGTTTGACGTGGCGGTTGCCGCACTTGATAGAAGTTGCGCGGATAAGATGCTTCCAGCATGCTTTGCTGATATCCAACGGAGTATGTTAGAAACAGCCTTCCACACGGCTTCTATCAAGTGCGGCACGGCCACGTCAAATCCATAGCCACGCCTAATCTGACTTCGAGATATCGACTGTATTTTTTCTTCGTTAGCGTACTGCATCAGCAGATGCCCCTCCACGAGGAACTCTTCCCCTCAGGCTTAGTCCCAAACACAATAATTGGTTGAATCTCTCCGCTCATGGGATCCCCCCTTAACAACAAGCGCCAGCAACCTAAGCGCCCTGATTGCTATAACAGCCTTTTGCTATTCCTTTTCTTCTCTTCCTGCCGCTGCCTTTGAATATCCACGCGTTGGAATGTAATTCGAATCGCAGAACCTTGTGGATTCTATCCGCGATCTGCACACGTTCTGACGTGTTGGATTCCACCGCAGAAGCCCGCGAAGACTTGCCTCGTCCGGATCGCCGCGCAATTCGCCGCGTGCAACCCCGGACGCAACAAAAGTCCCGCACCCGGGGCACGCGATGGCGCGGCGCTGTTTTCGTCTGCTCTACCAAGGCTTAGTCACCGATGGCGCGTATTTTGAAACTGCCACATAATGGCGAAAGAGTAACTGTCCCTGTGGACTAAGCCTTGGAGGAGCAGACGAACAGAGCGCCGCGCCATCGCGTGCCCCCCCCCTCCCTGAATACGAGTTTCACCCGTGATCAATGTCAGATAAACTTGGGCGCAATGTTCAGGTGACGATCTCTGCGCGTCTGCGCCTAGTACTGAGCCTAGGAGTGGGCAGGAACTTTGGGAAGATGAAAATTGCTATGATCCTGGAGTTCCTCCTCCCCTGCCCGAGGCTTAGTCCCGATTTAGCGAAGAGGAAATGCTTACACAGAAAAACGCAGAGATCGCGCGCGGCGACTGCCGCCTTCCCCCGAGCCACACTTGCGACTCGAACTAGTACATACAAACCACACTATATTAAAGTTATTGGAATAGTCTTCACCACGGCAGAGTAAGCCTCAGTAACACCTCCTCAAACAGGTCTGTTCACGCCCGATCCTGTGAAGATCGATAACGGGACGCGACGCGACCGCGACGCTATCCGATTTCGCTATCGACCCGCACTCTCCTCGTCGCCGTGGCGTCGGCATCACCGTGATTTGGTATCTTTCCCTTGTTTTCTATTTCATGATTTCTGTCTCGTCTATGTAGTAGCTCTTCAACATCTGGAAGTCAGCGGCATGGTCATATTTACATACGATCGTGAACACTCATTGGCTAAGCCTATTCGGATTTTCCGGTTTGTGTCGTCGTACACGGAATGACAAGAACCGAATTGGGAGCGTTGTATTTTGAAGTGCTGATTTCATCCTTGAAAATAATTCCAATTCTGGAAATATCTGAACTGCTTGAAATTTTGCAAGTGAAATCATTCATATTCAGTGAGTGCTTTTTCAATAATGAAAGATCGGGGAAGTTCGATTTCAGAGTACGAGCACATTGAGCGCTGAAGTCCTGAAGCGTGAATAGAATAAAACAAGATACGCAAGATGTCGGTAATAATTCGCCTGCAATTGTTACCGTTGTCGGCGAATGCTGCCGACGTTCGAGCATTCTTCAATGGTCTACGAATTCCTGACGGCGCAGTCCACATAGTAGGAGGAGATGACGGCGATGCATTCATCGGATTCGCTACTGACGAAGATGCAAGACAAGCAATGCGCAGAGATCGCGGACAGATTCATGGAGAGGAGGTTCGTATTACAAATTAGAGTTCCGGTCAAATGGAATGGCTAAAATCAGTTTTTTCGTCAGTTCAAAAGGCACCGTCAACCTCTTCAAATATTCTGCCTTATCTCACGAAACAGTAGTTGTACAAGCGTTTTTAAATCTAACGGCATCATATAATTGCGGGAGCGACAAAACTGAAGGGTAGACGTCAAAACAAATATAGGATTATAGTTCCATTAACTGGAAACTGGAAAATATTTCTGCTAACACAAGTAATCCTGTTCGCGAGCGCGGTGTTGCGTAGAACATAGGTTATCTACTTAGATGAAATTACACTTGGTTATGGGATGTTTTCTCGCATGACTTCAAGATTTGTCTTTTGATGTTCTTCACCTGAACGATCTTCATCAGTACATATAGCTAATATAGAGAATCAATTTCCTTTTTGATGATGTTGTGGCGTTTCGCAGAGCACAGGCCATGTTTTCTAGGAATTCAACACATGTTTGCGTATATGCGGAGCCACATTTGCAATAGTCAGGATTGGTTTCATAGTTACACGACCAACATGGTAATGCCAATATAAATGCGACATAATGAGAGCCAAATTTCGCATGTAGTACGAATGATTTTCAAAACAACCCTGGCGATTTTTTCAAGCGAGTCTGGTGTCTAGATAGTAGAATTTTTCTAGAGATATCCAGCTGAATCGGTGCTGAAGTAGGATTGGAGTGGAAGTTGTTTTTCGGTGAACGGTTGGATAATAGTTGAGAAATCTAGCTTCTTGAAATCCCACATAATCAATAAAACCATTTGCGATTGTAAGGGAGAGAAAAAGTTCAACAATCAATAATTCATCTAGGTGTCGAAGTTCTGTTGAAAAATAGATTTCATCAACAAATGAGATCCTTCCCAGCGGAATCGCCTTATTTCCGGACATCGTCATACCGAGCTCTCCCTGCTGACACGCTTTGCCTAGTTTTTAACTGCAGTTCTCTTTGATTTTCATTTCATTCATGTGGAAGTTCAACCTCCATCTTACAGTGCAAAGGCAACTTTTCTGAAATCACAAATGCATTTGCAATGCTAGATGAGTAACAAAAAATCGTGATGAGATGCTTCGCAACGAAGTATTTGCATGTGTTTATGTGGCTTAAACAAGCATGAAAAGAGAGGAAGGGAGAACCTGACCAGAGTGCTTTTCTGAGACACTGAATACTGGTCTAGCGCTGCTGCTATCATATTTGCATATTTGGGCTTCAAGTCCAGCCA